TATATATTCGATCTGCAAAAATTCATAAAATGTTTGAGAATGCAATACAGTAAATTGTACAACTTTGCAATTTCTGTATATTATTATTATTATTATATTAACTTCAGATTGTAGATGTTACTACAGTTAAGAACTAACGAGTGACAAATAAACTTAAGCAACATTCAATTTATATACGATACAATTATTGTATCTATTATAAAATAGAGATTTGTTTTTTTGGATTAAATTGATATATTTAATTTGTGATTAAATAAGAAAAAAAGAAAAAAAAATAAAGAAAGGATGTTAAATGAAACTTATATAAGAAAAGATAGAAGTTTAATTTATCTAGAAAAAAAAAAGAAAAAGAAAACGGGGAGAATAACTACTTGCCCGCTGCTCAACTCACCGACACGATATTACGTCATTTTGTAGAAATTCGATAAGAACCATTCACCTACCGATATTGGCGGTTTTGTGCCCCCATGAAATGGAGCATCCGTGACCCTCGCCAAATGACAGTTCAATCGAATTTTAACCCCTCCTCATCTATTCGCTTCCACTTCTCCCCAAACTGGCTACAAACTTCTCTAACAGTGATATTACTGTTAAGTTAACACGTGAATTTGATCAGTATTATCGTATATAATATTTTCAATATCAATTAAAATAACAATAAATTTTTTTTTTTTTGTATTTTTTTTAATTTAATTTTACACACCCATCGTACGTTTGTTATTATTCCATTTTTTTTATTAACCTATTACATTATATTTATTTCTTTTTCTTTTTTTTTTTCTTTTTCTCACAAAATCAAAAACAATTTATAATAACATTTATTTATAACAGATGGGAATCATCGATGTAATACGATCAGGATGATTACTGAATATTTATGGACTGAAAAAATGAACATTAAAGAGGTGTACAACCACCTCACGACTTTGAAAAGTTAACAAAGTTTTCTATTCCCTTTTAACTAACCACCCACCCCCACCCAACCCCATACTCTTCTTTCTCGTTTTCCTAGGAGACTTTACTAAGAATATATACTAAGTATAGTACTTGTGTTATACTTAAAAATAATCATGACTCGCTAGGCGCCACTAGTTCTAGCTTTACATTGTCAGTTTTTACAACATTTTGCAAATAGGCGTGCGGGGTTGCTTATCTGTTAGAAAACTTTAGCAACTTTTTTTCGAGAGGAATATTTTTATACAAGGATAGATTGTATAAACATATGTATATATACGAATAGTAAGTAATATATTTTTATATTATATGAATATAAACAAATTCTCAGATTTTTTATTTTATTATATAGTTTCCTCTTTTCTTCTTTTTTTTATTATTATTATTTTTTTATCAAACGATTTTTTAACAATCGATCAATCAACAGTGGGAAAAAAGGAAGAATAAAAGGAATAAAAAAAAAATATATATATATATTCGATTTGCATTGTTTCAATTTTTTTGTCGGCTAAAGGAAATTTTTTTTCCATTGCTTTGTAATACCGCACATACATACGTTTGTACGTACAAGAAATATCGATATCACATATCCGATGTACAAACGCATCAGCTTGTGAAACCGTAGGGAAAACGATAAATTCATTGATTAATATACGATAGCTGCGAGTATAAATAATACAGAATGGTTAAAGGGGCAGTGGGAGGGTTGGAATGGGCTGGAAACATTTTTCAAAACTATTTTCATCTCTCCGACAAAAATAATCGATCGATCGATCGATCGACAAAATAATAATAATAATAATAAAAAAAAAAAAGAATATATAATACGCGTATTTTATTTTGTGTCAGATGACACTGACACAACATCTTATTTTTTATATTTTATGTTTTATTTTTATTGTTTTTGTTTACAGCATCCTCCTGCGACGTGGTGTTCAACAGTGATTTGACAAAAACTGGAGTAGTTACGTCACCAGGATACCCAAATACTTATCCATCGAGGACACATTGTAGATACGATTTTCAAGGTAGAGGAAAGGAACGCGTTCAAGTGATCTTTCAAGATTTTAATCTTTATCATACTGCTGGCGATGCGGACGAGTAAGTCAAATTTATAATACTTATCCTTACATTAAATCATCGAATAATGTGTCGAATATGTATTAGGAATAATTTATTTTGAAAATTGTGCAAAATGAATTTTCTATGTTGTTTAGATAGTTTTTATATTTGTTCATTAAAAAATATAAATTGAAACGTTCACGTACGTTGAATGTTATATATATAATATTCAAGTTTTTCAATCAATTATTATATTTTATTTTTAATGTTATATATAAATCTTCAATTTTAATTATTATTATATTCATTTTGTGTTTCTATTTTTGCAACTGATTGAAATTTTTACTGTCAACGAGTGTGTTATATTATGTCAAGTATCGAAATGTTTCAACAAATTGATTAATATACGTATATAACTTTGATTATATAAATTTCTTTTAAACAATTCATTTTACTAGCTGCAAAAATGGATTGACGGAACTTTATTTGAAAATAAAACGCTACCATTTATTGATTTCATTTATTTCAAACATTTTCAAAATGATTTTGTTGTTCGATTTAATCGATAATATTACTTCTTTTTCGGATATAAATTCGAGGCGTCGAAAAGTCTCTATCTCGTTAGATCTAACAAGGATTCGGACGTGTTAGCTTTGAAAAAAGTGGAACAAACAGTGAAAGCAAGTGAGAGAGAAAGAGAAAGAGAAAGAAAAAGAAAGAAAGAAATAGGAAAAGCAAGTAAAACTCTAGGATAGGAGAACAACCGTACGCGTTTGATGTGCCGTCAAATACAATTTCAGTAAAGTGCATCGAGTAGCATTCCCGAATTCCAGACTCGTCGAGATATATATGATAAAGTGTATATGTCTATCTCTTCTGTGTGTATGTGTATGAAAGTGAGATAGAGATAGAGATAGAGAGAGAAAGAGAGATCGATCCACAGAACACAAAGTCCAGGTTGGTCTCGGCTGTCCCTTCGTGTCCCTTGTTGTGTCCTTTCGATCGATTTTCGGGCGTTAGCTCGTAGTTGAACGACTACGTTTCACGTTTCCCCACGTAAAAACCGCACACACAATTTCCAAATTTCGTGTTATCAATTTTTTGATTTGTAAAAGATCGATTAAAATGTCATAAAATACGCTAATGTTTTTTTCAAATAATATACGAATTTTCTTTTTTTCTTTTTTGTTTTTTTTTTTTTGGAATATTAGGATGAACGCAAAATTCGTGCATTTATCGTGTTATTTAATTGTGTTATAAATTGAATAATGAATTGTTTTTTGTATAATTGATTTTGGAAATATGAAATATATTGCTCATCCTAATAATTCGAGATTTTTTTTTCTATTGAATGAAATCATAGTTATAAGTATAGAGGATCCTGATCGAATATTCTACTATCCGATTATCTAACGAATAATTGATATAGTTATATGTTTCCTCTTCGAAATAATATAATCGTGTATATATTCAGATTCAATTTAATTCGAAATAATTTGAAATTTAATAGTAGTTGTTACTTTAAAATCTATGTATGTGTGTAATATAGTACGGATAATATCAACTTGTCTCATTATCGTATATAGATTAATTATATTGAAATAAATGAATATATTTATATTGTAAGATAAAAGTTAGAAAATATATATTAACGAGAAAATTTCATCATTTATTTGTCAATTAATTTACAAACCGTTATATATATATCAGTCAGGTTCGGGTATTAATCAAACGTTACGTACGAACGAATTAATCAAACTTGTATGTATGTGTGTATGTGACGCGAGTTTTCATTTATAATTTTCTCTATTTAAAATAAATAATAATATTATTATATTTAAACAAAATATTATAATGGATAATGAATAATTTTAAACAAATAATTTATCGAAATATAAACGAATGAATGGTATAAATGTGAAGATAATTTAACTAGATTTGATTTAATCGATCTCGCGTTTACGTTGACAAATATTTTTCTATTGGATTAATTTGAAAGATAAATTCATTTAAAAATTATTTGCACGCGTAAGCATTTTTGATTAATTGAAAACAACTATCAACCAACCTACCTACCTACCTACCCACCTACCTACCTATCTGTCGTGTCGAATTAACCAAAGTTACATCGAAGTTAACGATTGCTTCGGTCAGTTCATCAAAGCCGCCGAGGAATTTCGTTCTCGTTGGCTTTCTCGTTGCTAAGTGACAAGTATAGACCGATTGCCGAACGAAGCAATTTAGTAAATGCAGTCACACACACACACACTCTCTCTCTCTCTTTCTCTGTTGATATGCAGCAAGCAACTACTTTAGTTAGAAGTGACTATGTATCACCAAGTGATCACGAGAAAATGGACCACCCACCCACTACGCGATCTTCCAACCTTCTTTCCCAAACCCCAACCCTTCGAACTTCCACCCACTTTTCAACCCACCCCATCCCGACCCTTAAAATGAATTCTTCTTACTTTCAAAACTCAAATTAACTCCTAGAAATTCTAATCTTTCCAATCAAAATTTAAAGGATTAATGTCTTTCAAAGATAAGAGAGAGAGAGAGGGAGAGAGAGAGAGAGAGAGAGAGAGAGTCTTATTCGAATGAGAAAGGTTCGTAGATAAAAAGAACAACTTTTCAAAAAGTTCATAACTTACGATCGCTATTGTAATTTCAAATATATATATATAGTAGAAGAATTATTTAAATGCATGTAATATTTGTTTAGATATACCATAGAGATGTTATTATACGATTTCATTTTACGAGACTAGGACGACCATAAAAATTTCTAATAAACTTTTGACCACACTATCGCATAAAATTTTTCTCCTAACAATATTAGATATATCGAATCAAAAATCACGATCAAATAAATACTCTTTTATTTATTTATTAACGAAATAAATAAATATTTGAATTAAAATGTTACAAAGAAAAAAAATAATTATAATAAAAAAGGAAACAATCTCTTTCTCTCTCTCTCTCTCTCTCTCTCTCGATAGATTCGATCAAATTTCTATTCCACAAAAGGAAATTACAATTGTTCGATACGTACAACGTATGTATACACATATGTATACACATACAAGGTTCCCATAAGAATTTTTCTAAAGTTCCCTTGAGACGAGATGAGTCGAGAGGAAGAATAAAGAAAAGGATCTACTTTTTTCTTCTAAAGATCGTAAGAAATAAATAAAGAAAGAAAGAAAGAAGGACGTAGGACAAATCGAAATCGTCTAGCTATGGTATTCGAAGAATTCAATGGGAGAGACCGAGGGTTCAATGGGGGGATAAGCATAGAGCAACGAACGTAGTACTCACCATGCTTGTGGGTCATCCTCTCGTTTATCTTCTACCTGGCTGACGTTTAGTGCTCTTTAATCAATGCTTCTCCTAGCTTGTTCCACCCACTTCTCTATCAAGCACTCTCTCTCTCTCTCTTTCTCTATTTATATCTCTATCTCTGTCTCTCTCTTTAACAAGTTGAGGTGTTTAGTATTCTCGTGGATTCCAATCAAGGATTGGTACGACATACAAGGAGGGTGTCTCCTATGGGAATTCAATTCCCCTCAATTTTCTACACATTTATGGTTGTTCATTTCGTACAATTTAACTTTCGATCAAATTCTTCTTATTAATTCCTAATTTTTTTTTTCTTTTTTTTTCTTTTTTTTCTTTACTCATGTTTCGATAAGTTTCTAGAGAGTAAAAATTCTTTTGGAATAAAAAGTTTTATTAAAAAATTGTAGAAAATGAATGGAAAGGAGAGATAAAGTTTGCGAATAAGATTCTTACTCTTTTCATCCCACGCCCATCTCCATCTTCACTACCACCATCACCATCACCACCACAACCATTACTTTTCCTAACTCCTGTTTCCTTCGAAATCCAAATGTCTCGAATATTTTGTCGACTTTTTTTTTTCTCGATTACGTTAACTTTATAACGAAATTGTTCTTCAATTGTTTAGATATTTTTTTTCTTTATCTCTTTTTTTTGTTTTCGATTAAACGACAAAGCTTAACGACAAGGTATAAAAAGAGATTGCTATCTTTTTTTTTTTTTCATTGTACGTACGATATTTTGAAAAACAAAGGAACCGTTTATTATTTATCCAGAGAGATTCCATTCGTTAGAAATTCGATTTACATTTATGAGGATAGTTTTATTTGTATATAAAACAAACAAAAAAAAAAGAAAAAAGAAAAAAAAAGGGGCTAACAATTTGTATAGAGAAAGAAAAAGTGTAATATATATTTAATTCGTAATAATATAAAATTTTCATAACGTGAAAAAGAAACGAATGAAAAATCCACGAACATCATTTTTTAACCAATCATATCAAACAAAATGATAATTCTCTCACAACTCCTCTCACTCCAAGCCACACCCTTCCCCTTTTTGAAATCAAGCTCTTCTACATACCTTTCCCCATTTTCTTTCTCCCTCATGATAATAATCATAGTAGTTTTGAAATAAAGTTTACTTGGAAAACTTCTTGGCCCCTTTCTAAATGCTTGAAGAACAAAGAACGTGTGCTTTTTTCCCTTCCCTTCCCTTCCCAACCCTTCCCTTCCTTTAATCCCTTTCTCAATTAGTAAAACCACATAGAAAAAAAAAGATTAAACCGTGTTTTGTCAACGGGGCATATGCTTAGTTTGTTCCTTAAAGTAACCAAAAATTTGTCTTTGTCTTTTTTCTTACACTTTCCCAAGAATTATACGAGACCCTACTTACCTGTCTGTTTGTCTGTCTGTCTATCTGTCTACCTGCTTGCTTGCTTTTTCTTCTTCTCATCTCGCGTGCATTGAAACGCGATGAGGAAGAAGTAAATAAAAGAAAAGGATAGAAATATAAAAGAATAGAAATAGATGAAAGATTTTTCTGAATGGCCAACAGTCCGACATTTGATTTCCCTGCCTAGTTTCCTTCGAATCATACGAGTGGATTCCTCGAAATTTTCTTTTCCTTTCCCTTAACGTAGACGAACATACCTTCGTACCTTACCCGTACCCTACACGTACCTATCTACGTACGTTCATGTTCATTCATGCATGAACTTTCCATAAGGACTCTCTCTCTCTCTCTCTCTCTCTTTCTCTCATACACATACACACACAAAAACTCGGCTTTTCTCCGACAGTTGTCTTTTTTTCTCTTTCCAAGCCTTTTTGCTTTTATACGGAATCCACTCGTCCTTCCAACGTTATATGCAAATCCTCGAATCACAAGTTGATTCGTTGAAACGACAGGACGGCCGATTTTCTTCCTTTCATTAATCCCTCTTTCTTCCCCCTCCTCCTAACTCCTGTTTTCCTTTCTCTAGCGTTCTCCAATCGGCTGCGAAACTTCACTCAAAAGTAAAAGTTTATAATTTTCTGGAAAATTAGCCAACGTCATCAACGTTAGCTGTCGTTAGCAAAAACGACTTTTTGCGTTTACCAACTCTTACCTGTTAGTAAGCATGGTTAATTATTTTTCCTTCCTTTATATTCTTTCTTTCTGTCTTTTTCTTTTTCTTTTTTACCTTTTTCTTTATTCCTTTTTAACGCGCGATTCGAAAATATTCCACAAGGGCGAATAATAAACATGGTATTTTGATTATTTATTAAACGAACTTTTTTTATACTTTATTTCCCTTCCTCTCTTTTTTTCTTTTCCACCCCGTACCACCATTACCTTTTTACTTCTCTAACCCAAACCCTCCTCCTCCCACCCCACCTTCCTCCCACCACCCTTCACCGCTTCTCGTTATTCTTATTATTGTTAACTTTAATTATTTTCTCGTATATCTCCGCGTAATTATTTATTCCAAAGTATAAAGTTTTCTATATTTGGATTTTTCTTTTTTTTCTCTATCGTTTCTTTATTTCTTTATTTATTTCTTTCTTTATATTTTATTTTATTTTATTTTTTTTTTTGTGTAAACTCAACTCTCAACGCATCTACATTTTAATGAAAAACTTGATAAATATAAAGTCTCGAGAGTAGCTTGTTAGAGTATATAAGAAGAAGGCAGATGTTTCGAATGGAATATCTAAACCCCAGGATTTTGCGTGTGATAACAACACATTTCCTTCTGTTATCCGACAAAGTTAGTATCCGTTCGTGTGACGACTGTTGAATATAAAATTGGACAATACGCGATGCGGTACTTAGGTGAATATATATATATATATACATATATATATATACACACGCACGTAACGTTTGTAACGTTTGTAGATAGTAAAATTCAGAAAGCAACAGCAGCAACCTGATTTCTGGTTCCTCTAACGGGACGTGAAATCACTCGCGAATGGAAATGCTTCGCAATCCCCAGGGGTGGTGCCTTCTTTTGTCGAGGAAAATGAAAAGTTTTTCGCATAGGATATTTTTCGCTAGAGCGTGTAGCATAAACGTAGAAACGAAACCCAATGTGATTCAACTGACTACGTGCGTATACTACTACTACGGACAACGATAAGGTATCTCTCATCATCGTCGTCCTATGAGATGTCGAACGACAATTTTATCTTTGTACGTTTATTTTTGTTTGTTTGTTTATTTCTTTTTCCCACATTTTATTTTATTTTATTTGATTTGATTCTTTTTTCAATTCCGCGTATCGTATCTACAATTCTTAACTTTTTTCCTACGTTTTATTTGTTCCGTTCTTCTTTTTTCAATCATAATTACACACACACACACACACAACACCTTAACCGCGTGTAATATTAATATGCGAGTGTGTGTGTTAGAAGAAGTATATTTTAATTCCAACGAATGATGGATGCGTTTCGTTTTAATAACAATTCGATCCTTTTTCTTTTTCCTATTATTTTATTTTATTTGTTTGTTTTTTTTTTTGTAGTTATATTTTTTCTTTTTAATAACAATTCGATACTACCAACGTCATATTATTTCGATATTATTTTGTTTGGTTCGCTAAAGTGAAAACAAAAAAAATAAAAAAACAAGTCACGTTATAAATTCGGTACTTTTGCTATATTATTATATTTCTTCTCTCGGCACCTACCCCCCCCCCCCCCCGTTTTTTTTTTCCTCCTTTATTTTTTTTCCTAAGTTTATTTTTACGATCGATATCATTCCGTAAAAGAGAGAAATACTATAGATCTTACACGCGTCGTTCTTTTTGCACGAACCGGTACTACGCAACATTCGTACTTATTATAGTCGGTTCAACGATTCCAATGGTTCCACGAAAATTTACTAGCACTGTGTTTTCAGAAAGAAGGATAAGAGGACCCTCCTCCTCCTCTCCTACGGAATCTCCTTTCTTTTCTTCCTTATCGTCATTTTGTTAAGCACTCGAGCGTTCATCTTAATGAACTCGTTTTCCTTCTCTTACTCTCTCACTCGTTCACGATGATGTATTATTTCCAGTTAGTAACTTTACAAACGTATTTTAATAGGGCACCAAGAAAATCAATAATAATAATAATAATAATAATAAAATTGCAATAGCAATTTAGACTTAATCCGTTTGGAGTGTTAAAACAATTGGAATAACGAATCGTTCCTTTTTGTTTCTCTCGGTCAACCCTTTACATTTTTTATTTTATTTTATTTTATTTTATTTTATTCTTTTTGTCTTTTGCGTAAATCCATTTCGATTCAATTATCGAACGTTCCTTTTTTGTTCGATGGAAAAAACCTCCCCCCAAAAAAAAAAAATTAAAAGAATAAAAAAAAAACAAAAAGGAACGAAGGGGACAAATAATAAATGAAAATCGTTGGTGTTGTGTAACCAACACGTATATTATATAAATATATATATATATATATAAATTTTGGTATTTCTTTTTCTGACAATTTTCAATTGCAGTTGCAAGGGAGTCGATTCGTTGGCAGCGTACGTGCAAATAGATGGGAAAATGGATAAAATCGACTCGTTTTGCGGTGAATCGTTACCACGGCCGATCATGAGCAATGGACCACGACTTTTCCTCGAATTTCATGGTGTTACGTCATCGCGTTATTCGAGAGGCTTCAAAGCAACTTACTCCTTTAAGGAAAGTAAGTAACTAAACTTTTATACCTTATCTCTTAGGAAAAGAGAAAACCAAGCGTGACTAGGTAAATTAAGAGTTTTAGAACGTTGCTACTTACTTACTTACTTTACTTTACTTTACTTTACTTTACTTCATCTTTCAGTGCGCAACCTAGCATAGCTAAAAGTTATTAATTATTTTCATGAGAAGACTCTACACCAGTTAAAACTAATAGCCTTAATCTGTTCTAATATATGTATATATATATATATATATCTAAGTATCTTATAAACAACTTATTCTTTTCGTCAAACAATTAAATTCTTATAGATTATTTTTCTATTTACATCGAATATAATATAATTAAATTATGTGCATGATATAAGTATCGATGCTAATATATAAATCGAATGAAAAAGATTTATACATTTATTACGTATGAAAAAAAAAATAGAATCAAATGATAAGAGAAAAATTGTTTATCTTTTCGTCAGAAAAATAATATTAAATTCTTATTGATATTTGAAATATAATTAAATTATATGCATGATATATATATATATAACGATCGATCGGATACCATGCATGGGTTAATACTTTGTACAAATGATCCTATACGAGTTCGGATTAAAAAGATTTATAGATTTACCAAGGAAGATAGAAATATGATTTAAACGATAAGATCAAATATTCGATGATATAAATAAAATAGAAAGTTATCGTATGAAATCGATCGTGAAAATGTCGAAGTTAAAATTGCAGGCATCTCCTCTAACCCATAAATCGAATCCATACGGTTCTACTTATACGAAGATGAACGAGAGGCATCATTCCGAATAAGTTATCATGAAAGACGCGAAAGCATTTCTATCAAGCTCTCTCTCTCTCTCTCTCTCTCTCACGAGAATCGTAATATCTACTACTACTCTTAACATGTACTAGTAATAGTAGTAGTAATGGTGTTGGTGATGGTGGTGGTGGTGGTAGGACTTGCATCGGAGTCATACTGCAGTTACGTCAAAATTTCAATTTCCGTTCGTTCCTTCGTTCGTTCGTTCTATTCGTACGTTCTATCGCGATGGCAATGCGTCTCGTTTCTCAAGTGAAAACGTTTATCAATCGCAGGTGAGAGTCTTCACCGATGTTTCGCAAAAGGATCGTTCGAAAGAAAAATAGAAAAATTTTGTAAAATAACTAACTCATATACGAACGAATTTTAACTAAAGGGAACTCACCCTTCATCCCTCCTATTCCACCCCTTCCTTTAGACTTAATTATTTTTTCACAAATATTTCCATCCCATTTTTTTCTATAGAAAGAAATTCTTACATCTGTCTGTTTATTTATCCTCGTTATTTATATTCAAATTTTTCATATAAATAATAAAATAAAATAA